AGCTCTCTGGATAACTTGTGTCATGTCCAGTATGTCAGGGCAGTTGTTAAATTATTCAAGGTTCATAATATAGCACAGTACATGTGAATATAATGGCTTATGTGTTTCATGTTTAATAGGTTATTTTAAAATACCTTTGGAATGAAATTTTGGTGTTCTGTGTCTTAAAAGCACAGTGTTGTTCTATTTGTCAAATGATTTTGTGTTAAACTAAGTAACATATACTCAATGGTCACAGTGTTGCATCTGGAATAGATGTTCAGTGTGGGGCGCAGTGCAGGTGAGGGACTGGGAAACTGGAGCGAGTCCAGTGAAGGCCACTGCCATGGTTGGGGGTGGCAACAGGTCAGTAGAGGCTGAGGGAGCTGGGTCTGTGTCGTTTTGAGAAGGAATGGAGAGGAGTTGAGTTGCAGCCCTCTGTTCCCTAAGGAGGGGCTGAAAAGGAGATGGATCCAGGCTTTTTTTGTGAGGTGCACAGCAGGAGAATGAGAGGCAATGGCCACAAGCTGCTGCAAGAGTCATTCCAGTTGGGCAGAAGGGACAAACTTTTCCTGGTGTGGCTGGTTGAGCAGAGGAGCAGGCTGCCCCAGGACAGGGTGAAACCTCCACTTTTAGAGAGTTCAGAACCTGAGTGGAAAAGGCCCTGAGCAATCTGGTCTAATTTTGAAGCCACTTGCCCTGAGTGTATGAGAGACCTTTCAGAAGTGCAGTGTGCCGTGTGTTGCTAGCTGAATTAAATAATCTGGTTTAGGCTTGATTTAAACATCTTTGACTTGAGTTAGTTCCTCTGCCTCTCAGTAGAAGGGTGATAAACTTTGCTTTGAAATGTGGTTCTGTCAGAGATCAGTCCATGAATGTACCATCTACCACATAAAATGGCAATTATTTTATTTTTATGGAGGGTATTACTGAAATGTACAGTACACAAGCTCTCTTTGCTGCTGCAGTGTTTTTCTCAGCATCTAAAAAGTAGAGAAAAATCTGTGGAACTTCAAGATGAATTAATGCAATGTGTAAGTCAACCCCAAAGGCATTCTGAAGTGAGAAAGTGTATCTTTCTTCTTGTGAATAACTGCAGTGTTCAGATAGAAGCAAGCAGGTCAGTGGCTAGGACTCTTAACACTGGGTCTGTGTCCTTCTTCGACACAATTCTTATGTAATTTGAAGCATGGCACAGAGCTGGATCAGAGCAGAAAACAAGCTGAAAGCTTCCATAACTCTGCTCTGCTTGTTGACTGTTGGGAAGAATCTGATTTCTAAAATCACTTTTGAAGTTAACTTCCACAGGTGGTTAAAAACTTGCATCATGTGTTTAAATTAAAAAAAAATATTCGGAAGGGCTTTTATCTACTTTGATCTTAAAGATGTTTTTGGAAGAGATGCTGAGGCCAACTTTCAGAGGTTTGTCAGTTGTTGCATGTTTCACACTTGAAAAATCTGTGTTCCAGTGATGATTCAACTTTAAAAGAATAAAGAAAAATAGCCATTTCTTCAAACCTTATTTCCCCTCATTTTGGCTAATGATTTTGGTGTGGCAAGATGCATTCCAGACACTTTTAAACAGGAACACGCCTCTGAGCTCTGCAGATATAAATTGTAGAGAAAGGCTTTAGAAGAGACACTGTACAGTGAAAGCTTGTAATGGAATATTGTGTGTGTTGTACACAGATGTTGTCTATGTGTCGGAATCCTTTCTGAGCCTTGGCTCTGAAGCTACTTGTTTTTGTCTAGGACTTGATTAAGAATTACCAAAGCTTTGGATGATTTAAAAGAGAATTTCGTATGTTTAGAAAATATAAGTTGTTATGAATTGTCTCATCATATGATGATCTTGCACTACCAGGGTTGTTATCCTTCCTGGCATGTCTGTCCTGGTGATTTGCCCTTGTATACCTGATGTCAGGATGGTAAATTGCCTGGTACTTCCTAAGATTGGATTCTTTTTCAAGGCACTCCTGTCCATTCACTGACACCTCTTCTGTAAGTGATTTGACCTCTGTATCCTGAATAATTTAATTTATTATTTTCACACTGAACCTTGAATTTCACTGTCTCCTTCAACTTACTGTTTTCATACTTTGGCTATGGGAACTTTATGGGTTTGAGATGTTTTGGGTGCTGTTGCAAGCAGAAATGGTATCCTCTTGATGGGCTGCTCAAGAATAGGACAGAAAATTTAGCGTTGGCTCTTCCACTGTCTTATGTGGCTTTTGGAAATAAAATTTTCCTCTTCAACCTTATTCTGAAATATATTTGGGTTTTTTTTGTGTGCTGTATCTTGAGTTAAAGTGAAGATAGGTTTGGGGCAGAGTGTGTGCATTGCTCAGGACAACGGATCCAGTTTATCCTTCCAGATGCTATTGGGGTACCACTATTAGTTACTGTTATGGAGAAAGAAGGAAAATTTCTCTTGTGCGTCCTGGGCTTTGCTCTCTCCCAGTGTCTGTTTAGGACCAAAGTATGAGAATGCTTTGTAGGTTTATTCTTTTCCTTAAAACACGAGACCAACAGCATGTGAGAAAAGAGGAGGAAAGAGAAAGGTGCTTGCTGGTACTTCACTCAGAAGAAGTGGAAGTAACGGGGCTGAAGTGGAGTTTTTAACATTGCCAAAAAAAAGAAAAGCAGCTGTGTATATAGCGTGTAGTTAAAACTTGTGATTTCTGGTTGCCAACTGGAGAAAGGCATAATAAAAACTGATGAGCTTCCTGGAAGTTTTATCCCCCTTGCCTTCGTGAAGATTTTGAACCAGAATATGTACTCCAAACCCACACTGAAATAACATGTTTTAGTAATCTGCTTGTGATAGCCACAGTGGGAGCTGCAGAGTATGAAATACTTTGAAAACTTCATCTTTCTTCAGCTGGTGTATTGAGATCATTACAAGAATTGGCTTCAATACTGAGGGCTGTGTACATAAAAATTTGGACTAGATGTATTTTGAAGCAAGAATCCAGGCACGTTTCCTCTCTACTATAATGGTATTAGCTAATAAGTATGAGCTTGGCCAAATTGAAAAGGAGTGTCTCAGTATTTGGAAAATACGTTCATCTGCAAAACATGTCCCCTTCATTTTTGCAGGGTTTATCAGTCTGCTAAAGGAGCAGTGGATATACTAGGATGGACACAGAGGAATTCCCACCCCCACCACCAGAAGGTAATTGAAATAGTTTGAGTTGTGAGCCAATTTTGTTGTAACAATTTATTAAATTTCTGAGAGTGTTCTTACCTCCCCATCACTCCCTTTCCCTATAGCGTGTTAAGACTGGGTCTCAGTGGTATTTTGCTGAAACGTGAGCTCCTGTCATCTACCTTGTCTTATTCTTGGACCTTGTTTGATGGTGTTGCAAGAGCGTGACGGGAATAAGCTTGAAGAACAACTGGTCCTTATGGTCCAAATCAGCAAATACACCTTTTCTAAGGCCGCATTGTGTGGACTGTATCATGACACCTTCATCATGTGTTTTTGCAGCCTCAAGTGTTCATGCACATGGTACTTTGTAGAGAAAAAACAAGCGATGCCTGTGGCACAGGCAGGATATTGGGACCACTGTCTCAAATGCCTGGACAGCTTTGGAGTCTGACTTGAGAGGACAGAGAGGATTGACTTGTTTTCTGTTAGAGCATGTGCTGCTTTCACCAAGCATATTTAATCTGGGCAGTGACTGCTGAGGTCTGTAGCTGAAGGACCTTCTTCTGACGCTGCAGTTCTCCAGCCAGCATCCATTCCCGTGGGAAGCAGAGAGAAAGCATGCACAGCTGAGCCTTTGTGTGGTGAGAGCACAGAGGTTTCTGGAAGAGTATTGTGTACGCTGGACTATGGAGCTGGTTCTGTGAAGTTACCCTCGGTGCCCCTTGCCTGCTGTGTGCTGGTGGCTGTGTGGCCACTGGTATAGCCCAGGTTTCAGAGGGCACAAAGGTAGGGTGTACAAAATACCGTGTCATTGCCTTCTGTGTTTATGCTCTCTCTAAAAGAATATTGCGTATAGCTATTTTTTTCCCCTTTTGATTTCCTGTAAATGCATCTTTATGTAGTGTTTATTATTATGTATTTTAAGTCTTTAAAGGATTTGGCTTTCAGTAGTCAGATGCTGGGAGACTTCTTACTAGAAGTATATGCTTGTTCTGATTGTCCCAAAGCACAAGCCTGTGAAGGCATGGGTTATGGAGACCTGTGGTTGAACCCAGTACAGCTGTTCTTATTTTTGTAAAGTTGCTTGTATAGTTTGTGACTTTCCTGTATTTTTTTTTATCTGTCCCTTATATAGGACATTATTACTTATGGACTTGCACTCTATTACATACATTGATTATAATATTTATTAATATATATATTATTAATAACATACATTATTACTTATTCTGCTTGCTGTTCACACAGAATTTACACCTATATGAGCCCATTTAAGTATAAAAGAGTATTTATCTTAGTTTTGTTCAGCTGTAACTCTTTAGGAATTTGGGAATTGCCATCCTATATCAAAACTGCTTTCTCTCTCTTTTAGACACTGCCACAGAGGTCTGTTACCAGATGTTACCTAGGAAATTTGTAATATGAAAGAAGCAGAAAGTTGTGAAATCAGCTTTTAATGGGTTAGATTTCTGGCCAGCATTGTTGACAGTTTTATTTGTGCTCTGAGATATCACTGAGGTTATTGTTAGCAAAAATGCTTTTCCTGTCCCGTGGTCAGGACCCTGAATTTAGCTCTGTTTTGTTTAGTGGCAGTAACTGTGAAACTGTCTCTGTTGCATGATCCATCTCCACAGCAGTGTGGTGGAGTGGGGAAGAGTCAGCCTTGAGGAATCAATATTTCCACTTGAGCAGGGCTGCTGTTGTTCAAAGACAGCAATAACTGCAGCAGCTCCAACTCTGCATGCAGCATGTCAGTGCGTGGGATACTGTCACAAAAGTTCGGGGTGATGTAGTTCAGTGCAGTTCCAGAATTCAGGTTCTTTCTCTGCAAAGCTCTTTGTGATGCGTAGGACTGTGTATTGCGTCCTCATTTTCAGACTTGTCTAATAGACAAGGATCCTTGCCTTAATAGGCAGGGATTAACATAAATTGAGATTCTGCTCTCCTTGATCTTGCATAGATGGATGCTTTCCCTGTCATCTCAAAAAGCTTTGTCTGAAGCTATTGGAACTTGTATATTTTTTTATTTTACCATTGTTAACTCTCTTAAAGCATATTAATAAAAGGAATGTCAGTGAATATAGGTGTTAATAATTACACTAAGATATACTTTAGTTCACTAGAGCCATTTTGCAGGTGGAAAATAAGTGAGAATTTTTGGGGCAAAGTACAACTGCAAATACAAATAACAATTAAAGGAAGGAAACATACAGGATTGTTTTTGGAGTGGTTGAGGTTATTTTTGGCTGCATGAACACTGGCCACCCACGGTGTCTGCTCAGAAGGGATGAGCAACACCTGCCTGTGCCTTCAGACACCGGACGCATGAGGGGCTTACTGTGGCTCGTAGTGAGGATGAGGCTTGTGCTGCACATAGGACCTTTTGAGACATCATTAAAAAATTACTTGCAGCTTTTGCATAATGATTTGAAAATCCTGAATGGGGGCCACAGATGAAGTCACTTGTGCTTTTTTTCTTTTTAAAAGTTCTTGTGACATCACGGGAATTTTTTTTTACCTGTTTATTTTCCTAACAAATACAGCTGTAGTGTTGAAAGTCACATGGGTTCCTTTCCAAGGTGTATATCATGCTTTGTAAATCTAAATTTTATTCTTGTCAAGTAGGTTTTTTATGGTTTTGACAAGTAACTTCCACAAATTTATTTGTATCAATCCTAGTGTGTACAAAGGGGAAAGATAACAGTACATCTTCATCTTTGTCATGGAGATGTTGTGAGAATGTGCGTGAAAGCTATGTGATTAAATTCATGTTAAAGTCTTTTCATTAGCAGTAACTGAATCTCTACCATGTTTAAGGTTAAGGTCAGTGGTGGAGCTTCTTCTGCCACTTCTTGGTAGGGAAAAACTACATACAATAAAAGAATGGAAGACAACATACTTTAATTTATTTATTTTATTATCCTTATGCAACATATCTGCTCATAGCTGTTTGGACTTTCCATTCATGCATTGTTAATTAGGCAGTGACAAGTCTGTGCTAGTTAATTCTCATACCCCAGAGCAAATTCAAGTACTGAGGAACTTTAGCAAAATTAATGCTTGTATGCTCCCTCCCCCAGACTGCTTTAAAAAGAGATCCTTCTGGCCATGATTAAAAAAATCCCTAGTATTTTTCTCTATATTTTGGGTGAATGTATGTGTTAGCAGCCAGGGAGCAGCTGGAGGGGGGTGGATGCAAAGACTTCTTTGACTAAGAACGTAGTCCAAAAATTTGCTTCCAAAATTGACACTTAAGATGACAGTACTAGCTCATATGCCCTTCTTTAATGTGTCTGTGCATATGAATGCTGGTATTTAAGATTTTATGCATTAAAACATTTCCATAGCTGTTTTGTGAAATAAAATGGGGTATGATTTTTGTTCTCTCTTTCAACAAAAAAAACCAACCCTTTTTTAAAAGCTAATTGAAAATGGCAAATTTTATCATGGCTGTAAGTTACAATTATGTTTTTAATTGGTTGCTGTAATGGAATGTCCTTAACCAAACCCGTTTAGACAAGAAAATTATATGCTGTGGTTTGCAGATTATGCAGCGAGAAATTAAGAAGCTGATAATTCTGAGCATCAGGAGTCACATTGTGCTTCTCCTCTAGGGGAGTCGTCTTCATGCTGAGCAGCTGGGACTGCAGATTGGATGTTTGGTGCTAGGTTGGTGTTTAGTGTGTGTGTGTGTGTGTATATATATATAGTTTAAAAACAAACCTAAAACCAGATTGATGGTATCTCTTAGACATCAATCATAAAAGCATTTTATACACCTTTTTATACAATCAGCTCTCTAGGACTGTGAGTGGGGATATTTCTTTATTTCTGATATGGAGAGACAGAGCAAGGAGGCAAAGGACTTAAATCTGGATATCCTGTATGTGATCGAGTGCTGCGATTGTGTATTTCTGTGGTTATTTTTTGTCATTTGCCTGCCAGCACCGGGACACTAAAATAGTCCCTGTCCCTGTCACTCCTGTGTCCCTGAGAAGGAAGTCTGACTTGAGTCTATGGGTAAAAGTGAAGTAGGAACGACTGTACTCTCATAAAAGTTCCCATTGGGATGACTTTACATATTCTAACTAAAAGAAACTTAGAAGTTTTTTCATTAACTCTAGTAAGAAGCTGCTAGACAGCTGCCATGATTCGCTGTAGAGGTGACTACTTCTCTGCTTGGGTAACTGATTTTTATTCTGTGTGCTATATATATTTATATCAGATTATTACCTTTTGTGCCCTTTAGTGAATAATTTCATATTTTACTTAGGTTTTAACTTCAAAAGCTAATTTTGTGACTGAGACGAGAGGCAGTTAAATTGCTGCTTTGATAATATTGACAAGAAAAGCACTGGTATGTTTTACAATTGAGTTTATGGAGGTGAAGAACACTGGGGGGACGTAAGCTTGTACTTTGGTCTAAATTAAAATAAAAAGGTTATTTACTATGATTGGGGGATCGAAATAAGAACAGTGCTTAAATTAAACTGCAGCTATACAGGGAGTTGGTCTTGGGCTGAATGGCATTGTTTGTTAGTTATCTATTTTCAGCATACAGACAGTTACAAATGATGGTAAAAGGGGGGCCAAGATTTTAGAAGAATGAGAACAGAATGTAAATTGTAGTTATGAATGGTCCCTTGTTTTTGATGCTGGCAGTTGCTTGCTGGTGTCTGGCATCCCATCTGTAACAGAACAATTTATTTATTCCTGAAGATCACATTTCTCTCAGTAAATAAAGGAAAATACATTGTTTAAGGTAAGGATCCATTATTTTGTGTGACAGTTCAGACAAGCTGTGTAACAAAGAGTAACAAGAAAATTCCCATTGCAAAAATGCAGCTACAGTGTCACATGGCACTCCTAATTATGTGGTTTTTCTTCGAGTTAAGTGTATTTAAGCATTGGGAAAACCAAGAAATAGAAAGAAAATAGATTAATTAAAAACTTATTTATGTTTTTAGCATCTACAAAGAAAACACATAGATGTAATTATATCTTATTTCAAAATAATCCAGAAA